ACCACTATACTAGTACTACTACTACTACTACTACTACTACTACTACTACTACCACTACTACTGCTGCTACTACGACTAGCTCTATCACATCTGCTTTTGTTGCAACATCTTGGGTGCCAGAGTGCTAGCGACAATAGTCGTGGCCATGAATGTAAGCAGGTCTTGTCATAGAACACATGAGGCACGACATGCCGAGGACCGGGTATGTGAAAGCTAGAAGCGCGTCAGCACCATAGTTAGCAGCAACAATCGCAATGTAGCAGCAGTAAGAGCAAGCTCCAAGGCGCACATGTTCTTTACGGGTTATGTGAAGTTTGTTCGAGGCTCAAGCAGGTTTGCAGCACGGGTGTCGTAGACCCCTGATTAGTACGACCCCGAATGAGGATTGCAATAGGGATCCTTATACTAAGGCTCTTAAAGACAAGCAATCCGGGTCGACTTTAAGGTTTATGCAAGTCCGGAATCGCCGACTTGAGTTCTTCCTCCTTGCAGCCCGTTTTCGCCAATGCGAAGTCCGAATCGTAAACCTCTGAGATTCTGAGCCGTGAAGCTTCGACCTTCGTAACGACCCTAAACCCAGAGGCCAGGATACATTCTCTATGAAGCCCAGTCTCTGGTCTAGGTTTCTATCGTAGGATACCCTGTGCAAGACCAGGGCACCCAAAACACGAACTGCATGCGAAAGGAGATGCAGGTGGAATCAAGAAAAGTAGCAATAGGAAATTTGGTCACAACTCAGAGAAATGGAAGTTTTTGAGGAAGAAGCGGACTTCCTGAATTAGCCTCACACCGCTACACCTTGAGCCCTACGTGAACGCTAGGTAAATTTACTAAACCCAGGTCCTGAAGGCGACGAAGCCCCCAATCTGACGTAGCCTCATATCCGGCCTTGCGAAGCCATTCTAGACCCCAAGCCCTAAACCCAAAGCCCTAAGCCCGAAACATTCCTAAACCCTAAGCCCTAAACATCCTAAACCAATCTCAGGCGACTTGCCGGTCTTTTGCTTTGGCTTTGTGCCAGAGGCGGGATGGCGGAAGCTCCGTTGCAAGCAGGCTTGATTTGGGACTTCGGACATTTACTGTTTGTGAGGTAAGCTTAAGTTTAGGGTTTAGGGTTTTAAAGATTGGGCTTGGACCAGTGTATAGAAGGCTCCTTGGCTGCACATCTGGGTCAGATACGCATACACACAACAACCTTACGTGAGCTAGACCCTGCCCGGCAAGCATTTCCAGTACAGCTGCCTATACCGTAAATCATGGTAGAAACAGCAGAAGAAGCCGAAGCTGCCTCGGCTTTAAGTCTAAGGCCTTGTTTTGTTCGGTTGACGTCTATAATGGCCATGGTGCGGATACATATACATACACCTGTGTATAAGGAGATCCAGTTTAAAACAAGTCCTACCCAGCATAAGCCCTTACCCCAAAGTTCCGTGCCCCAGAATTTAACATCTACACTCCTTGAAAACGAAACCCTAGTAGAAAGCCCAAATTACATCTTAGGCTTGTGATCCTGCAAAACATGGGCCGAGCTGAACCTGGCCTGCAATTGAGGGGATGACAGGGTTTAGGGTTTAGGATTTAGGGTTTAGGGCAATGACGAGTCTTCACCTCGAAGACTATCGCAGAGTACTTCAGGGGGCCAAATTCGAGTCCCATGAGGTTTCTATGGGTTTAGGGTTCACAGTGTAGGCTTTTGGTTTAGGAGTGCTTATGCCAGTGTTCGGTGTGGGATGATTTGCGGCTCTAGCTCTTGTTTTGTGTATAGAGGGCTCAGATGCTTTATATACTGCATTCGTCACCACCATCATGTTTGGAAATCTGGATCGTCATCACAAGCATCAGCCCTAAACCCAACAGCCTTGCAGTATTCCAACCCAAATCAGACATCAGCCCTAAACCCTTAACCCCTAGGTGCAAACTACCGCAAACCTGTGGTCAAGGCACTGACACGGCAGGGCCACTTCTGCTGCAAGGAAGACAGCACATCTCGCTTGCACTCCAGGCAAGCGGGTCCATCAGTAGGATTTCTTCGGGGGTTCCTGTAAGGGTTTTATAGGTGTGGTTGAGGTTTAGTGTTTGGACTTTAGGGGTTGGGTTTTACATGAGTGTTTCGGATTTGGATTAGGGTTGGGAGTCTGACGCGTGAGGCTGGTCTGTAGGTTTCTGGGTTAGGGGTTGCGGGTTTCGGGGTGCGAGGTTTTGATCGTCGGGTCGAGGCTTTTTGAAAGCATGATGAGCATGGGCCCACTGTAAACCCTAAACCCTAAACCCCGATACCGGACACCATCACCGGCCTCAATAACAATGACCTTGGGCCGCCGAAGTTTGCTTCGGAGGGGCCCAGCAACGGAAATGATTTGGAAGGCAGATACTATGCTTGTACGAGCACTAGTGCAAGCTTGTACTATTAGATATTCGTACTGAAACGTAGTAGTCATCGTCGTCGCCGTCGTCGTGGTAGTAGCATAAGTGGTAGCAGTAGTTGCAGGAATAGTAGCAGTAGTAGTCGTCGTCGTCGTCGTGGTGGCGGTGGTGGTGGTGGTGGTAGCTTTTTGTTGAGGATGCCCCAGGCAAAACATTATCGAGAACACTTGTGTGCTTGCATTTGTGTGTTGTTGTTTTGTTCTCTCTCTCACCCCACGCCAATGGGTACCACATTACGAGGGCTTGGGCCTGGGATTGTTGAGTTTACGATTCTGGGGCACATGGCTGAGGGCTTCTTGATCTTGCTTTCACGGATCAGGTATTTATGACTGGTGTTTCGGTTCACACAGGTACCCAAAACAGAGAGTCCGAGCCGCGCCTCCATGTCATAAGGCAGGCAAGTAGGCAGACCAACGAACTCCACCAGCTTCTTCTTTCTACATGCATGTCTATGCACACGTCCTACATACAGTGAGCGTTATGTCAGACGAATACATGACAGATGAAGGTTACATCGGAACGATAGATGATCCCGAATGAACCGTAAGGCCGATCATGCTAAACTTAAAATTTGCAAGGCGCAGCGGGCTGCCTGTTCGGACGCTTCGGAGGACTGCCGTACGACAGGATGCTGCGTGAATTCAGGCTGGACGTGTTTCGAGCCTTGGGTACTAGTACTAGTACAAGAAGAGTCATGGGTAGCTATGCACAGGATTTTCAGCTAGCTGTAAGATACCCACAAGTTATGTATAGCGAAACTATCGAGCCATTGACGTCTCGGCAACGATTCGGGGGCTGGGCGTTCAACGTGTACTAAGAGTGTTCTTGCTCAGTTCCTGACCATGAGGCCGATACAAAGACTATGTCATTGCACATGTTAATGTTTCTCCTTGTAAAGACAAAGCTGTTCTTTCTGTTCTGTTTGCTACCAGTGCTACCATCCTATTCATATATAGATATTTGTATATTCACTGAATTGATGTACTCTGCGGGCAGTCATCACACGCCCATGAACCTGCCAGTAAGGAAAAGAACGAGTATTGGGCAAATTGCCGGCAGAGCTGTGAGCCGGGCGAAATCGACCCGAACGATGCGCCGGAGTATCAGACTCCTTGGACTTGCAGCGTCATCGGGGGCTCGACCCCATCCCCGTCTCCCCAGCCGTCGCCCTCACCTCCCCCATCTCCCACTCCAAGCCCCGCACCTAACCCGGTGCCGGGAATGGCGTTCACCACGAGCACAGCGGGCTCGGGAAAGGCGCGACTGTTCGAGTTCGTGGATGCCCTGACTGCCTTGCCTGCAGCTGGATCCAAGTACAGGGCGGTGCGTTCCTCGGGTGGAGCCGCAGGCGGCGTGGTTAGTGAGAGCCAAGGATACGGACTTCTATTGGCGGGTGCCATCCTAGCATCCTTGCAGCCGGAGGATGC